TGTAGCGCCACGAGGTTCTCTGGGGGACTGTTCTGCCGGCGCCATATTGGATCCGCCGGCCTCCCCGCTCATGTCGGCTTGGCTGTGGAGGAAACCGTCCATCGGGCCGTGAGTGTGCCCTATCTGGGAGCCCCTCGGGGTCTGGGGGGAATCAGTGCGACGGTGGCGTCCCATGTGTGCGGAGAGTTGCTGATTAATAGGCTGTGGTAGGTGCCGGCGGGTCGGAGCTCACTCTCTATGCGTCCATCTCGCTCGGAGCTCAGGCCACGCCCCCGTCTATGCCATATTTCCTTATGCCATACGATTTTATCCATTCAGGTTACAGTTACTACTAAAAAACCTATACGGATTGTCAGGTTCAATACCAACTACCAGGTACGTACACCTGCTCATGTAGTTATCCATCTCTTACCTTCCCTGGAATAGTAATAGTGTACCGGCAATTAGGGTTCTAGGGCCCAGAGGTATTACCCCCTTTTTTCTCTGCATTATGCTTCGGTTAGTGGTCCCGCGAGGCCAACACCCTGCCTCACACTCTGAGGCATACACCCCTCGGGCCACTCGTGAGCTAGCCGCCTCGCATTGTATCATAGAGAGGGCCTCACCTGTCACTCCCCTTCCTATTTTTCTGGTTACTGTCACCGAGAGGCCAACATCCTGCCACAACGTTCGGTGGCCACACAAAATCCCCTCGCGCCAAGCATAGATAGAGCCTTTCAAGCCACTTGGCAACTAGCAGGGCCTCACCAGTCACCAAAAAACACCAAGCCTAATCGTTTCGCCTTACGGCTTAGCTAGCATGCCGGTACAAGACCCCTGTGTAGCGGAACGCCAATAATAAATCCACGAATTCCGCTGGTCCAGAAACGAATCCACAGTCAAGCGCTGAAACAACAAGGCAATATCCCCAACCTCCCAATAACCGGACGAGACACAGTTTTGGGAGTCAACTGAAATCCTTTTAATCGGCAAGACAATTTATACAAGTCCCCATGCAAGGGGTTTCCTGAGTCCCTCCCCAGGGGCACTCCCAGAGGGGACTACATGGGGGACTTACATGACAACATATTTCTCCCATCAGGCACTGCTGCACGAGAGGGATCATCCTCCCAGAATGCACCGTTAAGGGGATTATCCCCTCGTGCAGCAGAACCGGCAATTCACACAAAAATCTATAACTTATTAAATACACGTGGATTTACACGAATGGGCGTTCGGTAGATAGCTGGTGTCTGGGCGCATCATTCGTGAGATTGCCGCTCAGATCCCAGCTAAAATAACCGAACGCCGCACAGAAAACACATTTCTTTTAAAACATAAGAAAAGAACCGATTACTCCTAGTGAACACGATCCTGAAACTCCCGAACGTCCTGGAGGCTCAGCGGTGTTCGTGCCGTCGAATGGCTATGGGTAATACTATGCGTTCGACAACTCGGTCCCGCTGAGGAACAAAGGATCCAAGATGGCCGACCGCCGCATGGTCGGTAGTCGAACGACGGCCACCCAGGAGAGCCTCTAATAACCGATTGCAACAATGTTGCAATCGGTTAACTAGCGCCACCCGCCTCTAAGTGTGTGGGCTATTAGGGGGTATCGCGTTCGGTTCACGAACGGCTTTCTAAAGTGCTGTTCGTGAAACGAAAGAAAATCCCCATACAAAACCGCCATTTGCATTCGGCGGAAACAGCAGTACAGGCAATACAGAAAATACATTAACATCTACATAAGTGTAAAGCGCATATCTCGCCTGACCTATTGGCAACCCTTAAAGGCACAGTCTCTAGTTATTGTCCAAGTGGCTAGGTTTGCCACACCCTGGGTACAAATATATAATTGCAATCTTTATTGTTATTTAAGTATTTCTCAAAAAGATAGTAAAGAATCACCTCTTCCTAGCACCACGGCTAGAAGTGATACACATTCATCTCTTACCTTCCCTGGAATAGTAGTAATGTACTGGCAATTAGGGTTCTATGGCCCAATAGGTTTTACCTCCTGTTTTCTCTGCTTTACGCTTTGGTTAGTGGTCCCGCGAGGCCAACACCCCGCCTCACACTCGGAGGCATACACCCCTTGGGCCACTCGTGAGCTAGCCGCCTCGCATTGTATCATAGAGAGGGCCTCACCTGTCACTCCCCTTCCTATTTTCTGGTTACTGTCACCGAGAGGCCAACATCCTGCCACAACGTTCGGTGGCCACACAAAATCCCCTCGCGCCAAGCATAGATAGAGCCTCTCAAGCCACTTGGCAACTAGCAGGGCCTCACCAGTCACCAAAAAACACCAAGCCTAATCGTTTCGCCTTACGGCTTAGCTAGCAAGCCAGTACAAGACCCATGGGTACAAATAATAATTGCAATCTTTATTGTTATTTAAGTATTTCTCAAAAAGATGGTGAAGAATCACCTCTTCCTGGCACCCCGGCTAGAAGTGATACACCTTCAAGCAGAGTAGATGTGGCTCCGACCTAAGGAGGCGACAAATCCCCTACCCTGCCACAGCAAGGAAAGCAGAGTTATTCAAACTCCTCCATACATCAACGGACAACACGGAAGCAGGGGAAGGCCCAGCAACACCAACTCAGGTGACACCCAGGCCATGCTAGCCTCACTCATAAACTCATGAGCCAAAAAATTTACGACAGACTGGCAATCTCGAGTCAGTCAGAGCCCTCACAAGGCTGGGCCTCACGCTACTGTACAACCAGCACCAACCGAATCTCGGTTACTTGGTTCAAGACGTTAACCCTGCACATATGATCCCGTCACATTGGGGAAACAAGGCATATATATGTATGATGATGTATCTATGATGGTCAGACCCAGGGATTCTAGGTAAATCGGGAACTGACCATCCCTTGGTTGTGCTGGCATTTGGAATATGTAGAGATGCTTATTTTTGCAGGTACCCATCCAGAAGGGATTTTCTCCCAAACAAACGGGCGAGCACTCTCGGGCTCCAGGTACCAGCACCTCTGAACTACCAGAGACAATTGGTATTAGTAGTTGCATTGCATATAGACTGTTGCATATATGTTCAAATCATTCAGGGCACATGACAAACCATGTGTACACACCAATGCATTTTCAACACTACTGACTCATCACCCTTCCAGACTTGTAGTAGATTTACTAAGGCTCTGGAGCTTCAAAGGGCTCCCATACAGGTATCATAAATAAACTCTCAAGGAATATAGTATGACCTCACTTACAGTCTGCACAACAGAACCGTCGGCTGTAAACACACTCATAGCCAAGATTTGCAGAGGGGTTTTTACTTGGGTTTTCCAATCTCCACCATTTACAGAATGGCACCAAACACAAACACATTGGTATTGTCACAAGGGAATCTTCCCTTAAACAAAGACTAACCATAGACTTATTGGCACCACACACCTTCGCTACCCCAAGTCTCAACTCCCTCATACCCTCCGAGGAGTTTCCTTACTATACACACCATTGATCTACCTTTACAGCTATCACTCAAGCATGGGTTGAAGCTTTGTTAAGTAAGACCAATATCATCAACACAGCAAACTGCTACCATATACCCTACAAACTGGCACTTACATGGCATAAAATGGGCAATCCTATCCCCGCTAAAAGCAGCTGCTGTGGCATGGGGTAAATCATGGTCAGGGTCATCAATCCGTTGTTACTCAGACAACTAAGCACATGTCATATCATCAACAAATGCCACTCATCATCCATACGATCATGGTATTGCTGGGGAACTCACTTGGTTGGCCACTTACCACATTTCTTTTACTTTCATGTACCAGGCGGGGGTATACATCCTTGCCGACAATTGTCTCATTTATATTCCAGGCACGTTCATCATACGCTTCCTACAGCCGCCCATACAGTCACGGCCACTCTTTCGTTCCAGAGACAAAATCATGGATTAGACATACTCATGCAGCATAGCATGCACTATCCCACCTAGCACTTTCATCCCATACTTGTAGAACGCATAACACCTATTCACCTGGCTTTAAAGAATCTCATTGGAACACGACATAGCTCAACCTGTGTCATAACATTTCTCCTAGGTTTTGCTTCATTTTTTGCCACCTTAAACTAAAACCATCTCACACACCATTAATTATATATTTTACAGGCATTCAACAACACAGGATAACCTATGGCCAAAACTACCATAACTTCATGCTATCATACCAGACAAGAATATACTCAGAGGTTTTCAGGAATCCATCCCCCCACGTTCCTCTCAGATATTACCAATAGCCATCCAACTTTTCCATCCTTATCGGACCTATTAGAGCTACAACCATTCAATTATACTACCAAGTTGGCCATTACCACCATGCACACTGCCTTTTATGCCTTTCTCAGGCCAGAGAATCCACTACCATAACCACCACTCAGACAGATCATTGTCTTCAACGATCCCACGTATGTAAACATATATATCATTACCTATTGGCACTACCACATTCCGAAACGAGTCAACACGCACCAACAGTAGAGATAACATACTATCCTACCCACAACAAATGGTGTCCAGTTGCGGTCCTAGATTCCTGCCTTCAAAAATCCTTCCAGGAATTAAATACCGTAATGCATTTAAGGAAATGTCTGGTTAATTTGTATATATTGTTGACTGTATTAAATCTTTGATTATTCTTTTTGCCCTCTTTATTTACAGGCCTACCGTATCGTCGGTCTCGGCACACCACAACCGACTTGCTCCCTTTATACTATCCTACGCTTATGCTGGAACCTTACTCCATATACGGCTATTTGCCCCGAACACAAATATATATATATACACACACACATACATACACTGCAGTGTGTGTGTGCTGTGTGTCTGTGAGGGACTCTGTGTGTGAGAGGGTGCTGTGCATATGTGAGGGTGTTGTGTGAGTGCTGTGTGTGTGTGAGGGTTCTGTGTCTGTGTGTGTGTGTGTGTGTGTGTAAGGGTGCAGTGTGTGTGAGGGTGCCGCTAGTGTGCTGTGTGAGGGTGTGTGTGTGTGTGTAAGGATGCTGGTAGTGTGTGTGTGTGTGAGGGTGCTGTGAGGGTGCTGTGCGTGTGTGAATTTGTTTGGAGGGATTGTGTGTAGGGGTAGGGGGGACAGATTAGTAAATAGCCCCCCTCCCTTCTTACCTTTTGCGTGGGAGGGGTGATCTTTGCTGCCATCCCTGATCCCTGGTGGTCCTAGTGTGAGTGAACTCTAGCCTGCGGACGTGACGTCAAAGTGCTCCACCTTCACAGGGTTTCAAGGAGTAGCAGGAGGATCCGCTTTGGCACAGGGTGAAGACAGCGCCATTGGGGGTATACAAGAGGCTGGACTTCATAGTTGCATACTGGCAGCGGCAATGTGAGTGGAGTCTGCTTGTTGGCTAATATTTTTTTTTTTAAAACAAGGGCCGGGCTTCGTAGAGGGAAGTGCTGGGATTTAGTATAGAGGGAGGGATTAGGAATTAGTATGGGGGGGAGGGGGGAACTGGGGTTTAGTAGAGGGAGATGCTGTTTATTTTATACTGTACTTTTCAAAATAAACCTAAGTTTCTATGAAAATGTAAGATTTTTTTTTGTGGCCCACATAAACTTAAACCTTGTGTATTTGGCACGTGCTAGCCTTTGAGTTTGACATGCTTGGTTTACAGTAGACATGTGCAATTAATTTTGGTCCAAATTTTAATTCAGACGAATTTCAGCAATTCGGACATTCAGATGCTTCGGGTTGGGGTAGGGTTAGGGTAGGCTTAGGGGTAGGTTTTGGGTTATGGGAAGGGTTAGGGCTAGGGGTAGAGGTAGGGTAAGTTGGGGTATAGTTAGGGGTAGGGTTAAGGTTGGGGTAGGGTAACCCTAATCTCAACCCTGCCCCTAATCCTGGGTTAGGGGTACGGTTGGGGTAGGGTTAGGGGCAGGGTTGGGGTTGGGGTGGGGTTGGGTTAGGGGTAATCCCGAATTGCCGAAGTCCCGAATTTCGGAAGTGCCGAACCGAATTTCAGCAGTCACAAATGTCGTAATTCTGAACTGAAACTACGTTTTTTGCCAATGCACATCCCTAGTTTACAGAGATCAGCAATACAGAGATCCCCATACAGTATGTCTATGTAAAATGCTTTAGTACTCTCTCTGTCTAACTTCCTAGCACTCTTGATCTTTTCTTTAGATGATCTTATCTTTAGTAAAGCTCCTGCTATGATAACTTTAGCTTTCTATTAAAAATTGCTGCAGTTATGAAACATGTCAGTTACTCCATTAGCTCTCAGCACAACCAGTGTGCACATGGTTAAAGCAGCAGGGTAGTAATACACTCCTTATTACCTTTGCAATTGGCAATATAATTAATATGCGGTGGTAATATAGAGCCAAGAAGTTTCTAACATGGTTAGCAGAATTAACAATCATTACAAATTAAAACAGATTGAAATCAGAATGAGATCGTCCTCAGAGTCACAGCCTCGGTCCTGCAGTTTGAAGGTTCACAATTTTTCAATTAGCCACAGCATGAGTGTGTCAGGTCTCAGCTATCGAGTGAGTGAGAACTTTGAAGAAGATGGTTGGTAAGTGCAGGAGGTATCTAAACTATTAAGGCAGCACAGTGCTTTGTGTCAGATATGTCGCCCTCCCCTTGTCACCGCTGAGTTTCCCTGCCTTTATATAATAATGAGATATTTGAGTAAATCCCCTTGCTTAATAAGCCCTCGGGCAGTCACAAGGGCTATCTGAAGACAAGATGGCTTCTTTCTTCTGTGGGCACAGTTCCCCCTCCCTCTGATGCTATTGCCCAATGATGGCCTCTGAATAGAGAAGCCAATAGCAAGCCTCCACTCATGGACAACTGCCTCTACTGCCCGAATGGCAACTCTTCCTTCTTAAAGGACACCGGGCATGTGCAAAACCTGCTGAAACAAGGTGATTTAAAACAAGTCCTATTTTTTTGACATGCCTTAATGCTATCAAGTAAACTTCTCCAAACACCTACCAATTAAGGGGGTGTGGCACTGCAGAAATAATACATATTATAAAACTAAAGAGATACAAATCTTTCTCTTTTTTTTTTGCCTACCACTCTTAGTATTTTTAAACTACTGCAAATATATTTTTTTCCCACATAATAACTGGTAGGATGCTGCCCCAAGTGCCCCTATGGGTGAGCCTCCACCACATGCAAACTTGTGCTCTGTTGTTAAGGTCATATTATTAACATTATATAAAAGTTTATATATATATATATATAACATAAGTGACTGCTATCTTTTAATCTTTTCGGTAATCTGCTTCATTTCATTTATCGAAGAAACAGACAGTATTTGTAGGTGTGGATGCTATGCACCCCTCAGCATAGCAGCAGTACCAAGTATCCAATAATATCATGCTCTCACTAGTTTTATTATAAGACCATACTACCCCTATGTACTGCCAATGTCTGCTGGTCCTCCATGAGGACAAAATGCAGGTACATTTATTTAAACCATGAAAGTTTACAGTTACCTTGCTTGAACATCCCAGTTGATAGAAGAGCATCCAACTTCTATAGCCCCACATTCCTTTCCTCCCCCTTCTCCTATCTCAATACTCTCCATCCCCACTCCTATACTCTCAGTACTGATGTAATGATCCTACTTTGTGAGCACTGACAAAGTATTTAGATATACTAGACAGACTGGTTATACCATATATACAGTTGTATTTAAAATTATTTAACCCCCATTGAAAAAAGTTGCAGCTTGCAAACCCAAGAATATTACTGAACTGGAAGCCATTGCTAATGAGCAATAGGCTAAGATTCCTCCAGAAGGCTACCAGAAGCTGGTGTCTGGCTATTCATCTCATTTGCAGCAGGTCATATGAGCAAAATGGTGCTCTACTAAGTACTAAAGATGCTTTCCATGAAGGGGTTGAATCATTCAGGCTGGGTTCTCCTGGTCTAGCCAGGCTGGGCGCGGATCCTGATCTAGCTTGGTCACTCTTACCTTGATTTGTATTGTCTTGTACATGAGAGAAATGACACTCAGTTACTATTGTTCTACCTATCATATTAGTCATCACTTTTCTCTTACTCTTGTGAACTACAATTAGAATTGGATGCATAGCTTGTCTATATCTACACTTTAAAAATGTGCCACTACTCTAATACCATATATGTGAAATGCTTTGATATTATTGTGCTTACATATGCTGTTGTGGCATCGAAAGCTGTTTTGTTACCTTGTGCACAACAAAAAAATAATTTAAAAAATAATAATAATATCAGGAAGTATTACTTTACTGAGAGGGTAGTGGATGCATGGAATAGCCTTCCAGTTGAAGTGCTAGAGGTTAACACAGTAAGTAGTTTAATCAGTAAGGAGTTTAAGCATGCGTGGGATAGGCATAAGCCTATCCTAACTATAAGATAAGGCCAGGGACTAATGAAAGTATTTAGAAAATTGTGCAGACTAGATGGGCCGAATGATGTTTCTATATGCAAACTCTTGCATTCCTATAGATTGCAAGACGGTTGGCAAGCGATGCACCTGGAGAAACATAACTACATGTTCTTCTCCAACCCAGACCAGTTTTTTCTCCCCTACTATTACATGCCCCAACTGCTACACTCCGATATTGGCATGGTGACATGGTCAGATCAAGCCGCAATTTCTATCTCACTCTTCTCCCCTTGCACTGACCTCGGACTACACATTGGCATCTCAACAAGTCACTACTTTCAGATGAGTTTTTCCTGCAGGAGACGCAGAAAGCTCTGAATCAGTAGTCTCCGGAAAATACTATTGCTGCCCAGGCGCTAGTACAATAAGGGGGGACCTGGCACAGGCCCCTCCATTCCCCCATGGTGGGGAACACAAATAACTAAAATGGGGACAGTAGTGTTAAACTCTGCAAAACCCGCGGATGGGGGCTATTAATATAAACAGGGGGACCTAGTGTCCCCCCCAGGCCCCCACCCATGAGCGGCGGGTGGAGACCCTAAAAATAAATAAATAATGGGGGAGACCTAATGTCCTCCTCCAGGTCCCCACGACACTAATTAATTAAAGGGGGGACCTAATCTCCCCCTTGGTCCCCACCCATGAGCGGTGGGTGGGGACCCATAATAAATAAATAATGGGGGTCCTAATGTCCCCCCAGGTCCCCACCCATGAACGGTGGGTAGGGACCAACCGCTCATGGGTGCCAGGTCCCCCCTTATTGCACTAGCGACTGGGAAGCAATAGCTGCTCTGTCACTAATATTTTTACATTTGTTTAGGTGACATGCCCCTACTTGTGGCATGCCGTGAGTAGGGGCATGCGGGAGGATTTAAAATCCTCTAAAAACCTTTTATTAATATGGCGGTCATAGTAACACCCATACTGATTTATATTTAGTTATAAATGACAGAGCAGCCACTGGCTACTCACTGTTTATGCGAAATGCCCCTACTTGCGGCATACGAATTGGGGCAATGCTGGAGGATTTAACCTCCCTTTTATTAATATGGGGGTCATAGTGACCCCCATAGGTTTTTATGCAGGTGGGGGGTGTAGGAATGGTTTATTACAAGGAAGAAGCTGGTAGCGCTGCCGGGTCCCTCCTTGTTTTTTTTATTGCGCTTGTGCATTGATATTTTCGTCCTAATGGACGAAAACTAATTAGTTTTTCCAAAATTTAATTCGAAAAAGAATGATTTACGGACTAAAATTCGGGATTGACGAATTACATTTTTATTTAGTACGAAATCATTTATACGAAATGAAAATTTCACTGGGGAACAAATAAATGTATTTATATTTATTTATTTTTTACATTTTTAAAAAGTCCCCCTACCCTCCTCACCACTATGCCCCGCTACACACATTGCCCCCCATACACACACTGCCCCTACACACACATACACTGCCCCACACACACACTGCCCTCCCATACACACACTGCCCCCACACACACACACAGCCCCCCCATACACACACTGCCACCACACACACATACACTGCTCCCCTATACACACACTGCCCCATACACACACTTCCCCCACAAATACACTGCCTCCACACACACCATACACATTCACACACTTCCACCCATGCACACATTGCCCCACACACACATACACTGCCCCCACAAACACACTGCCCCCACACACAACATACACATTTACACACTGCCCCCATACACACATTGCCCCCATACACACCATACACATTCACACACTGCCACCCCATACACACATTGCCCCACACACACATACACTGCCCCACACACACATACACAGCCCCCATACACACATTGCCCCACACAAACACATACACAGCCCCCATGCACACATTGCCACTCACACACACTGCCCCCCATACAAACATTGCCCCACACACCCTACACATTCACACACTACAACCACCCCACACACACACTGAACCTTTCACACACACTGCACCCCTCACACATTGCACCACTCACACAC